GAAAGACAAACGATTACTAAAATCAATTATGAGACAGATCATTTCAATTCTGTGTTAAAACGAAGAACTGTTCTAAGCTTGTGGATGATCCAATCTGTGTTTTAAGACAACTCCAGCAGAGACTGAGGGCTGGAACACCAAGGCATGACACAAGAAGCACGTGGAAAGCAGGATCTAAGTGAGAATTTATAACGGACCGTGTCACTATAGCTTTGAGTATGTAAATGAAGAGGTAGACCTGAAAGATTAGCTTAGATATCTTCGCTTAGACAACAGCAAATGTCAGGAAAGCTAAAATGCCACTGATTAACATGTGACACATAACTAAGAACTTTTATAAAAACTTATAAAGAATATTTACAAGGAGATGAAGATAAAGTTTTGTTTTCAAAATGTTAAGTTTGAAGTTTCAACTGGACATCTACACGGAGATGATTACTAGTTTGAAATACATAAGAAAGAACAGTCCTAAAAACCTAAGATTTTACAAAAACACAGAAGCCTTTTCAAATCAAAGTTGTAATGAAATTAAAGCACCTCATATTGTTTGGGATGATGACAGGCACACTGATTAAGTTTACTCTGTCAGACACGCATGTTAATAAGAACATAAATGGGATACAATTTCTAAACTGTAACAGGAAAGACAGGAAGGGAGGAAAGGGCAGAATAAAGGAAGAATCCAACAGGAGGAGGAAAGGAAAGGAATGAAAAGCAAAGAAAACGCACAGAAAATAGGAAATAAAAAATAAGACAGTAGAAATAAATCCAAAAATTACCAGTAATAATAAATAAAAAGACTCACAGATTGAAGTAAAAGCATAAAATTCAGTGATCTGCTATTTATACTCAAAACGTAACAACTAACAAGCAGCCATCTTAACCAACAAAAAAGAATTTAAAGAAAAGGCATTTAGAGATGATGGACAAAATTTAATGATAAATGAACAACCCAATAAAAAGGTATAATAATCAGATACCTATATGTAGCTCACATAGTCTTTGAATAAAACAAAAATCAAAAGAATTCTGAGAAATGAAGAGAAACAAAAATCATGAGATGTAAAAAGCATTTCACTAACTAGATCACGCAGATGAAAAAATTAGTTAATACACACATAATCTGAATAACACAGTAAGGAACCCTGGCCTACCCCCCAAAATTCTCAACCCTCAAAAAGAACAACCATTTTATTACATGTTTAAGATATTCACAAAAAAATGATAACGTATTAGACCAATAAAAAGAAAGACTTCACAATTCCAAAGAATCAGTATCAAACAGACCCTATTCTTTAACCATATTGCTTCTTAAGCTTAGAAATCAAGTTGTAATTTTATTAAATCCAAAGATTTCCTTTATTTTTTCTGACAACTTTGTGATTTAAAGAAATGTAATTACCTTGTGAGTACTATATTTTTCAATTCCATCTAGATCCAAAAACATGTCCAAATCGCATCCTAATTTTCCAAAACTGTTCACTGAAGAGCCAAAGGGTCTGACGGTGCAGTCCGGAAAATACGCAGCGGCTACATCTTCAATTAGAGAGCAGGTGAGATATCGGAGCTTGGTGTTCTCCTCTGTTAGCTGGAATTCCCTCAGGAGAGTGTTCAGCTGATCATCGACCTAGCTGGCCAAAACAAAAACAGGAGAATATAGAAAATGTTAAGGTCGTGTAAAATAATTGTCATTTTACTTCTAGAAATTTGATGGCTCAGGAGACCTACCTTAAAAATGCGCAATCTTTTTACATGTAGCCTTAAAAGTGGATTTTACAAATGCCCTTTAAAAAGCACTAAGGAATGAGGACACCAGCAAAGAAAAAAGTTGGCTAGAATTAAAACTACTATTTTTCTTAGGCCATGAGTATAAAGTATTGTTTTAGAAAATGAAAACAGTAAAATGCCCCAGTAGAGGAGGTCAAAGCAACCACAAAACTAGACATTTAAATGAAGCTGGGGGGAGAGAAGAACCAATGTTAAAGGCAAGTAACACCAGAAATAAGCAAGGTTTCGAGGAATGCAGGCCCAAGGTCCCCCAGTTCCTCAGAATAGCAGTCCTGTATGTTCCCTAGAAGGCTGGTGATAAAACAATCACACACTGTGAAGGCGCAAGCTGGAGCTGAATATTTAAAATGAAAACCACAGCCTTAAATGCCCACATTTGAAAATAATATTGAAATTAACTGAACTAAACACTTAACTCAAGAAAAATAAATAACAGAAAGCAGAGGAAATACAAAAGGTTTTTTTCTTTAAAAATTAGAAAATCAACCCCCAAAACAGTATTTTGATAACTAAAACCATGAACATATTCTTGGAAAGGACTAGCTAAACCTTTGACAAGTCTGAGTAAGAAAAACCAAAACTACTATAAACATTACTAGAGCAGGAAAAAAGAGATAAAACCAGAAATAAGATATTTTAAAAGTTATAAAAGAATGCCATGTACAATTATTTGCCATGTTGACAAGAGAAAGCAAGCCAGAATAATCCAAAGGCCCAAAACTCTGGAAGAATGTGGTTCCTTCTGAGGATTACAAATGGGATATGGTGGCAGGGAGTAGGGAAGGATTACTTTTACTTTTCACTCAGTATGAATATCTAATAATAAAAACTTACAATATACAAAACAAGTCAAACACACACACATATCAAGTCGGGGAAGTATGCCTATAAACTTACACTTTCTGCACAACAAAGTAATTCAAACAGCTTCTTGCTTGACGGAGACGACTGCTTCCTACACTGAATACTCGAGCGCTCACAAGTCTGGTTTAGTGGAGTCTTCAACTTTAAATTGAAGCAACGTGATCTGAACGGAATTGCAGCCTCTGTGCCCAGGCCTGGAGTACGAGTTACATTCTGCAGTGAAGCTACGCTTTCCTTCTGACTAAATTCTACAACAGCATAAAGACCCTATACCAAAAACATAAGAAGAACAGAACACGTTTCAAAATTCTATTTTTAACATAGTATTTTAGTTCATATTTCAAAGCAGTTATCATAACAGGCAAAATACTAATTTTTAAAATTTACAATGATACACTTCTAACACGAGCAATGGTTTTAACCATTATAAGCAGATTAAGAAAAGGAACATTATAAGGCGGTATTAGTTAAGAGAAGCTGAAAATAATGCTGAAATAGAAAATTAAAAGGCAAAACAAAGATCTCCCACTGGCTTCTACATCTAAGGTAATGGAACGATTTAAAGTATTCAAATTATGAAATGATTCAGGTATAATTATGCTTATAATTCTGTGATACTCCTATAAGGATTTCTATTCTCATATCAAAAAAAAAATCTCACTGAAGACATTTAGACAAAGATAGATGCAGGGTATCAGAAAAGAATCTAACTTCACCATATTGCAGAGGCAACAGAGCAAAACATAATTTTAAAAAGAAGTATGAATGTTACGTTAGACTGCTTTTCGAATACTCACAAAGCTTTCATAGAAGAAGTGGCTGTTAATAGACCCATGCTGGGATAAGTGCTTGAGAAACTTCTCCTCGCTGACTTTACTTGGGCAGTGGATCAACACAGTCCGCTGGGCCTGTTCTCGTCTCTCTTTTTGCACCTCAGAGAATCTCTTTTTTGGAGTCCTGTCTTCAGAGCCTATGAATGAGACAAAGACATTCCCAACACACACACGTAAAATTCAAAGCATCTCTTGGTATATGGTATATAAAGATTCTACACCTGACCACAACCAGCTTTACCCTCATTTCGTCTGCTTTCTTCTCCTCTATAAGGGGGAAGCTATACTATTCCCAGTCTTCCTATTACCATTCTCCTGTGATTACCATTAAACTGTCCACTCTGTTTTGACTGACTATACTTGATGCCGAGCGCTAAGAAGGCAGCGCTCCACAAAACTTTAAAAGTAAAACCACTTCCACAAATACACACATACAGTCTGTATAAGCTGTAACATTCCAAAGCCTGAAAAAAAATGATTACAAGCCTGAGTGCAACGAGACCATGAGTTTAGAAGTTTAATGTATTAAAGTAAGTTATTAGTTTTGGGGACTTCCCTGGTGGTCCAGGGGGTAAGACTCCGTGCTCGCGATGCAGGGGGTCCGGGTTCGATCCCTCACTGGGGAACCAGATCCCACACGCCGCAGCTAAGAAGTCCACATGCTGCAACTAAAAGATCCCACACACCGCAATGAAGATCCACACACTGTAACTAAGACCCGGCGCAGCCAAAATTAATTAATTAATTAATTAATATTTAAAAAATAAAATAAGTTATTAGTTTTTCTCTGTAAAGGGTCTTGATCTGGCTCAAACAATTAACAATGAGTTACCAACTATCATGTGCTCTGCATCACAGGGAAATCTGCGAGCCCGAACCCTAGCTGCTGCCCATAAAGAGTTCATGATACTTTTTACTAAAGAAATAGACTTTTTTTTTCCCCCCATTAGAAACCATCCAGGGGTTAGGGAGTTTACAATCACAGGAAATGACGGCAAGAGCTGTGATAGGCAAGAAGTAAATAATCCACTGATCACAAAGGAAAGATCAACAAGTGAACTAAACGCAAGGAAAAAGAAAATCATCCAAGTTCTAATTCCAAAGAGATTAAATGTGACCGATGCACAGAAATCAGCAAAAGCTTTCAGCCTCATCTTCTTTCAAAAGGTCACAAAACTGATGGATACAGGAAATACTGCACACACACTGAACCTTCATTTCAGCGAACCCCAAGACATCCTCACGGACAAGACAGAGGAAGGCAGGCAGTAAGCGCCGGTGGGACCCTCCAGCCTGTTGGGCAGCATCCACCTAGAGGCAGGGCTCCGCAGAGCACTATTGGCCCTGCCCTACTCCACATTTCTAACAACTGATCAAACATACTGTGCGTCTTCCCTACCCCCACTGTAGAGACGCTAAACACGCAGCTCTTAAATACGCGTCCTCCTCTCTACTCCGGATGCCAATTCTTCAACATCAATCTCTCATTTCAGGCCTGGAACACAGCAGCCTGATGCTAAACTGGTCTCACTCGCTCCAGTCCTGTCCTTCTCAAGCCACTCTCCACACTGCTGCCAAAGTCATCTTTCTAAGGTCATCGTTTTTAGAGCGTCTTGTTCTCTGACTTCCCTGCCGCACTCGTGATGAGGTCTGAGCCGCCCAGCCCGGCTATGAGGCCCCTCCTCAGCCGTGTCAACCTCAGCCCCACCTCCTCCACGATGCTCACGCACGCTGCTCTTCACACGGCACCGCCACACACACTCTGAAGTCTTCACGTCTTCTCCTCTGTGGCCGGAACGCCCACCTTCTCATTTTCTGCCCTGCAAACTCCCACTCATCCTCCAAACGGTGCTCAGCTCTGTGAAGAGCTGACTCTCCAAGGCAGAACTGCTCACCTCTCACTACGTCACTTCAACATCTATGGAAGAAGGTAAGTCACGGTGCTGTGTTTAGCACGGAAGAATGCGTCTTCCATGCTGAGGGCAGGGCCTACTCTTACTCACTTGGACCTCAGTCTACTGACAGCCCTTCCAACTGCTCCTCCTTTTCCTTATGGCCCAGGCTTTCCTCGCCCGCTTCTCCAGCTGTAAAATCACCACCTCTACCTTCTTGCCTCTGCTATTTACTGAGTCTACGCTGATGTCCAACTGCTTTTACTGTAAAAGTCAAGTCAAGCTGTAAAATTTCAGAGTAAAACTATAAATCCTCCCCTTGTTCTCTCCAATACCCACTTATGAGGTGTGACACTTCCCTTTCCAGACATTTTCAAGGCATATATAAACATATACATTTGTATCTCTCTGGAGATGAACATTTTTCACACAATTACCGAAAATGTCCTATAGATTCTCTTCTGTAATATGCTTTTAAATATTTAATACATTGTTGATATCTTTTTGTGTCAGTAGATTATATATTTACCTCATTTTTAAAATAACTGCATAAACATTCTTAGGTGTTTATGGTAATTTAATCAACCTTCTGATAAACACGGAGATGGTTTACCTTTTTCACTATCACAAACAATACGCCAGTATCACTGGTATACAATGCTTTGCACTATTATGCAGGTAGCCCTGCAGCTGCATTACTGGGGAAGAACAGGGACGGCGTGCGAGAGGCAGACAGAGAAGTCTGATGACAGATGGCGCGACAGGCTTGAACAGGACTGATGGCTCTAACCTTGAACAGCAGTAGGCACGACGGAGTAGACGGGACAAAGTCATGAAGGGGACAGAAAGCTGAGGTAGCATACGTACATGACCTTGCAAAAGGCTTGTCAAATCTACAAACAACACAAAGTTGGGAGGAAAAACTAATAAGTGTTAGCATTTTAAGACAGACTCAAATTTGCAAGTCTTCATAACATAATGATAAGCATAAGCACAAAACATACTGTCCTGCGTTTAGAATTAAAAACAACATAAAGACACAAGCACATAACGGGTGGGGGGGGGGGGAATT